GGGCAACGGCGATGTTCTAGCATGTCATGGATCAGGTCCTTGCTGAACATCAGTTGAGAGCTGCAGCCTATATCAATGATACGATTATATTCTCAAACGATTGGCCACAACACCTAGAAGACCTACAAGATATATTAGAGGAACTTAGGAAGGCAGGACTCACTGCCAAACCTCGTAAGTGTGCCTTAGGATAAACAGAAACAAAATATTTGGGGTTCTTGATAAGGCAAGATAAAGACCCTTGTAGATAAGGTGGAGGCCCTAAGAATGTACAAGGTCCCCTGGATGAGGAAGCAAGTAAAGTATTTTGTGGCGTTAGCTAACTATTACTGCAAATTTATACCCCACGTTTCTGAGCTAACTGCCTATCTTACGGACCTGATGAAGGGATGAGGATCCAAGCCTGTGGTGTGCAGGGAAGATGCTCAATGGGCCTTTGAGGAAGTTAAAACAGCCTTATGCAAAGAACTGGTGCTCTTCACACCAGATTTTAAAAGGCCCTTTGTCTTATAGATGGATGCTTCTAGAATAGCACTTGGAGCTGTTTTGACACAGAAGTGCCCTGAAGGGGATCAGCCCATAGTATATGCCAGCAAGAAGTTGTGAGGGCACGAATGACAGTATTCCACCATTGAATGAGAACATCTAGCAATCAAATGGGGTATTGAACTATTCTGGAACTACCTCCTGGGTAGGGAATTTAAGCTGATCACGGATCATGAGCCTTTAAAGTGGCTACAAACGGCAAAGTCTGATAACACTTTCCTGACATACTGGGCTCTAATGCTACAGCTCTATTAGTTTTAGGTTGAACACAGGCCAGAAAACATAGTCATGGATTTCTTCTCATGTAGGCATGAAGAGGAAGAACTGAAGCCACAATGAGTAGTCTTCCAAAGATGAAAGGAGGTGGGACCACAAAAACTTTGAGTGAGGGGAAGCAGAACTTAGCATGGGGGAATCCTAGCAGAGTCAGGGAGACAAAGGCTTTGCACCTGGCCCCCGTCCCCAGCTGTTCCCCGCAGCACAGCTGGGAACAGAGAGGCTGTCGGTTGTGGGGTGAGGGAGAAAACCCAGCTCAGAGTGGAACTAAGGGAAGCCCCAGGGGCAGCTGTCTCACAGATGGTGAAGCCAGCAGATTGGCCACTAGGAGTGCTGATGGGGAGATAAAAAGCAGCTGTGGAGACTGGAAGGAGAAGGAGAGAAAGCGAAAGTGAAGCTGCCAGGCTGTAACATACCTGGAGGGCAGTAAGAGGAGCACAAAGGCTCCTGCTCTTTTGTTGTGTTTTGGTTGCAACTCTGGTGGTTTGTGGAAGGAGTATAGGGGTGGTGGAGCTCCCAGCCATTGGGCCCTATTCAGATTCACAGGGTGTGCAAGTCTTGCTATCCCTTAAAGGTACAGGCCCTAATTTTGAACTGTGTTTTGGACTGTAACTACCACTAGTGTAAATCCTGCCTATAAAGAGCTTTCAAATTAGTCATGGTGAACTGCCTCCTATTCTGTAGATTACAAACTCAACATCAAGTTGTGGTGGGCGAGTAGACACTAGAGGCAGTGACACCCCTTCCAATTTCGACCTGGGAAGTGCTCAGTCAAGGGCACTTTCCCCTGACACTGCCCCAGCAATGTTTGCAAAATTTCTTCTATGAGAGCTGATGAAAAAGAGAATGAATGTCTTGGTGTGAGATAGCTAGAAACTGAAAGATGAGATTATGAACAATGCAGTGAAAATGAAAATTACAATGGTGCTGAACAAACTACACTGGATGCCAGTTTTTTTTCCTGATACAGTTCCAGTTACTGGTTCTAATCAGTGAATTCATTTTTGGTTTGTACATGAGGGTATGCCTATACTATATTTCAGGTTAATCCAGAGGTAGCTATCCACCTGAGCCATATGATCTGCTCGTCTTTATCTTTTAGCCTGCACCAGAGCTGGCTGCGTTGTATTTTTATTTCTCGAGTATAGCAGCAAAATGAATCCCAGATTGCTTTGCTGAACCCTTCTGGAACTCAGTTGGCAGACTATTAGTCTCTCCTTTCAGACTTACTTACCGGACAGCGTCTACTTATCAGATGTGGAGAGAAGAACTAAGTAAAGAAGAGCCGGAAGTAATGAGCAGAGAACTGTAGGACTGTTGCTAATTGACTTCCTGTGCCTGAGGCCTGAACATGTTGGTTAATTCCAGACATACTGCAGAACGGTGAGGAGACTGAGAGGTGGGGGGTCAGTCTTGTATGCTGAGATTCTGGAGGGCTCTAAGGTCAGACTGGATTGCTGTAAGGAGTCGGGCATTGGGGTTTACATTGGAGATAGTCACTATATATGGACTTTAAAGTGACTTTAAGGCTGAATCTAATCATTGACACAGACTTAGGCTTAGTGAGTGACTATCCTTTTGCTCCACAGTTCTACTACAACTGCTGAGATTTTACTTTAACATATAATATGCAAGATTATTATTATGGGAAAAAAACAGTTATGTTTCTCTGTATTGGTCAATTGGTTTACTTTGTGCATTTGACAATTCTTTGTATCGTTTCCATTTTATAATAAGCCTGTTTCCCCTATTGTTTAGGTGTGGGTACTTTTGGAGAGAATAAAACTGTCATAAAATGGGAATATGTGATTATATAAAGCAAAACTGTCAGTGGACTCTGTGGCACTTGTAATATGTAAAATTACTTTTAACTCACTTCTTGGAACTGACTAGCTTTCAGGCTGAACTTCAATAGAAGGCAAGGGCTAATTGGCTCTCTGCTCCTTTTGTAACAGAACTCTGTAACAGAACTATGGCTACCATAGTCCTCTGAAGATGCTTTGTCCAGCATTGCCTCTGTTTTCCCCATCTTTGATGCATCCTGATTAGTGGAGTCACTAGGACTATTTTATACATTTTTAAGTGTCAGCTAATTTAATGGCAAACAGAATCTCCATGAAAGTGCTTAGCTGGAGAAAAAAAAAGGGATAAGGTTTCAAAACCTACTCTTCCCTGAAACAGCTGACCATCTGAGCTGGTCAAAATCTAGAATTCCTATTTCATGGGAAAGGGAAATTATTAAATTAAAAAATTGTGTGTGGTTTGAATCCAAACAAAGATAAAAATTTCAAAATTTCTCATGAAACAAAAATGTTATTTTGGCAATATTAAATCTCCCTTATTAAAGCACTTTGCTTTAATTTTAAGTTTTCTAACAACTAAAACAGTGAATTTGATGTGAAGTGCTTAAACTTTATCAAAGTAAGATGTTTCAATATATTTTTCATTGAAATTAACAACATTTGCACCTTCCCATGAAATATATAGATTTTGCTGAATAAGCATTTTCCCAAAAGGTGAGAAGAAATTAACTAACACTAACTATATTGGTTAAGAGGAAAATTATTCTCTTAGTCCAGCAGCATTTGTGTTATATAATGGAAAACAATATTCAACAAAGCAGTGGCTGTTTCTACAAATCTCAGGATGTTTGTGAAATGCCATTCCTCTGCCTGCTGCCAGGTAGGAATTTTAAAAATATATTGTTCTTCATGTGTTCGGAAATCAACTGGACATTGAGACACATAAGCCAATTACCATTTTTTCTCATATATTCCATGCCTCCGAATAAGACCTGCACGTTGTTTCTGGAAGGCAGAAAGCCGAAAATAAGATTTTTCCAGAGTCATAGTGGAGAGATGACTTCATGGAGCAGCTCATTTCCCCTCAGCCAACTCAGCGGCTGCTTCAGGAACAAGCGGCAGTGTGAATTCTTTCACAACAGCTGCTTAATTGGCATCAGCTTTTGGCTGCTTAGACAAAAGCTACAGATAATTCAGCAGCATCCACAACAGGGTTAAAACTGGACTCCATCCCTGCTTCTTGCTAGCTTAGAAAAAAGTGGCAACCATTATAGCACAGTATCTCTACACATCAAATAAAATCAGCTTCTCTGCATAAGACATGAAACTCAATTTTGGAAAGCTGATATTTGAGGAAAAGCTTCATGTGGCATATGAGTAAATATGGTACTTTATTAGTTAATAAATAAATGTATTGGCCTGGACATTATTTATCAAATAAAAAACCTCAAAGGAAGGAAATTTCTGTGATTCACTAGTGTATTATCACACACAACATCCCCAAAAAAGCGGTATAACTTATACGGTATTGTCTTAGAGCATCTTATTTTCCAGTAAATAGTCTGTCCCATGGACCAGTGGTAGGGGGGAGGAGATGATAGGGGGTGCACTGGCACAGTTGCACTCCCCCCTTAATTCCTACTGTACCCCAACTTGAAAACCAACTGTCTGGGAGGGGCAGAAGCATTTCTATTCAGGCAGTGCTGAGATTGTCATTTAATTTCATGGTTCATCATCTTGCTGATTCCTGTTATTCTCTCTCTACTCCACAGGTGTTAATGACCCTCTATCCTTCTTAATGGTCTTGATGTTTCATTATTCAAACTATCTTCTTTCTGCAATTTTTCTGTCTGTTAGTGATTCTGGGCAATGTCTATCTTATTTCATAGCTCTGAAGACTTTTTTTTTTTTTTTTACCTCAAGCTAAAAACTTTAACTCAGGTGTGGTAATATTAACTCAGGTGTAGAAATGATTGACTGAAATATCGGAGGCACTGTCAAGACACTCAAGAAGGCTCAGTTTTGTTTTATGAATCTGAATAAGAGATATTCATATAACTATCATGACTACAAGACTAATGATACAATATCCTTCAACTATGTTTTCCCTAGTTGGTTGTGTTGGTTTTTTTTATTTATATATATCCTAGCAAATTAGTGCACATTCCAATAGTTATATTTGTTTTTGTTTTGATCTTAAACTGAATAATCTAGTGCTACCATATTAATAAACTTCTTGTTTCTCTTTAATTGGAGAAGCATGTGTTGTGTTATGTGTGATGATGTGCCAGACCATGTGCATCCCACTTTTCAAAATCCTAGATCTGCCAATGCCATAGATAGTCCCAAAGGAATATATGCATAATCAAATCTTACCATCTAACACTGGTTTGGGCTGAGAACTCTTCAGACGCAGTGAAGGTCGGAAACGTGTTCGGTCATTGAAGCTCCAGCTCTTTTGCACTTTGGTTGGACTGCCCTCTGCAGTAATGTCAGTACTTGGGGACCGCCGATCTCCAACAGAAGCTTGCCTGTTCTTAATACTCTGTCCTCTTGGGCTGGCCATCCGTACCCGCTCTTTAAAACTTAACTTTTGGCTGTGAAAGAGAGGCACATACTTTATTTCATATTTAATTCTTTCCAATCTCCTTTGTCATATGATAGACATCTAAACATGTACATTTATTTTATCCTAAGCAAGAAAGATGGTGCAATGTCTTCTTTTAACCCATTTATCACTTTTATGAAATATATTTATTCTTTGGGATCACACCCACTTGTAATAAGTGTAATTCTGTTGAGACATTATCTCTGATTACACACCTTACAGAAATGTTTAGACCTTTAACAGTAGTAGTGTATAATAAATCTAACCAAATGTAATCCAATAGTCACAGTTTAACCTCTGAAACATTCTTTTTGTTCTTTCAATTTTAAACACTTCTAAATTATATTGCTATGTTAGACAACCCAGCTCAGTGCATTTCTAATTATCTCTACATTTAAACAAAGACAATTGTTCTCTTATTTCTGCATGCCATGTACTTTTTTTTTTATTAAGCAGGCAAGATTAATGTTATAGTCATGCATTTTCAAGACATGACCTTTTCCAAAATATTACACACATAATTAGTGATCACTTACATCTAAAATCACACATTACTTACAACATTCATATGGACAAGACAAAAAAATACAATCAACAAAACAGTCACAAAATGCAATCAATGAGATGAATGAGTTGCAGAAATATGATGCTACATCGAGTGTTTAAGAACACAATTGCCTGTCATTAATTAAGCTGGGAACAGTTTAGCTGAATAAGTGGATTCCTACTTTAGGAACAGCAACAGCCCAGCCAATGTAGAAGTTGTTTCTGATTGATCAAGGGTGGCCTGTGAACTGTGACACCTGACTGAAAGGGAGGGTTCTGCTCTTTTTGCATGTGCATGTGGCTGTTTTTACTTCAAGTCACACATGTGATATGTTGAGAGCCTGTAATTTACCGTGCTTAAAACATATTTGTTTGTGTTCCTGTGTGCTATATCATGTACTTGGTTTTGCCATGTTGGATGTTTCCATGCACTGCTTTTCTATATTTATAATTTATACTGTTCACTGACTATTTTTCAAGGCACATGACACACCAAAAAATGGAATGGAATGTTGAAGCTGGGTCTGCTGTTTGGAGGCACAAAGGCATGTTCTACCTACAAGATTAAGCCCAATCTGCACAAGGGATATCTTTCCCACATAATTAATTGTATTCTTGCAAAAGAAAGGGCTGGAAATCAGTTGTTCTGTGGCTACTTACAGCCTGATGTAATTTTATTGGATCTTGCAATACGTATATGGTGCTGTAGTAGGAGAAACTCTTTGGGGGGGTCATGTAGAGTACAGACAGCAAAGATTACTGGTCTGTCACTGTAAATGCTCATTATGTTGAGACACTGTCTGTTGTGTTTCCCTTGAAGTCTTTGCATTTGACTGCAGCGTGCTAACAAGAAACATTTCCAACAAAATGTATTCTGCAGATAACAAGAAATATTAAAATATACTCTCCCATGCCTAACCAACCATACTCTGGAAAGACAATCTTTTTATATGCAATGATATGAACTGGAATCAAGATTGAGCAACTGTGGTTATGACATTTCCAAATAATCAGACATCTTTGTCCATGCACCACATATCATTTCACTTGGAATATAAGCTCAGTTGAAACTGGCAGGGATGCGCTATGTAGCAAGCAAAGCACATGCTGAGCAGCTTATAGTGAAGACAGTTTCAAGAATGCTATAAAACAATCACATCATTAGAAAGATCTTCACTAGATAAAGGTATTTCTATATGGAGAACGGATCACTATCACTTTAATGAATATCTGTTTCTATAATTTCTCAGACAAGACCCATACTCCCCCTGCCCAAAGTAAGCAATTGTTGAAACAGAAGTGGACGGTGCTGAAAATACCATCTCTTTCTTTTGCAAACTAACTATACCTCTGGCACTAACTCCAATATAAAAGACTCTCAGAATCTATTCTATGAAAGAAAAGCAAGTTCTAGACTTATCTTACAGTAACAATTATATTACAAGACTCCATTCAATGCTTGGCAACATTGCTAGTCATATACCATCATGAGAATGTGATGAAGGAGACAGTTTTCTAAGAGTCACACAATGGAATAGACACACATTAGTCTGTGCTAATTACATGATCTTAGCCTGTAAAAGGCTCAGAAGCGATTACACACACACATGACTCATTATGACTATTTTCTCTTTTCATGTCTGCCCCATATACTATACTGCATGTATCCTTCCAGGGAGCCAAAACTGTAAATGTTATACAAGCACAAAAATCAAATAATAATATTCCATACAGTAGTCCAATAAAGCAAAAGCTTTCATGTCTCCTCCTTTTCTGATAATTTAGATAGAAGCCGGGTACAGACATTATACATACACTGGTCTAAATTGTCTGAAACCAGTATAAGTCCGTAACCATACAGAAGTTTGGTACACATAGACTGGTCTAAAAATGGTGGAACCCAGTCTATGATAGACCTGGTTTGATGCGCACTCAAATCTAATTGATTAAGTTAAATCAGTGAATCGAACTTCTGTACCAGATCCCCTATTAGCTCAAGTTAGATCACTGTCCCCTTGCATCCCAGCCTCCTTTGCAGCTCCCTGCAACCTCTGTGTAGCAGGGAGGCATGCTAGCGGTTGGCTTATGGTTGGCTGCTCCAGTTGAATGCCCACTGAGCCCCTCCCCTGAGTTCTCCCAGAGCTAAACTGGCACAGACCTTCTCTCCAGCCCTGCCTCCTACCTGTGGCCATTTGTTAGCCACAGGCAGGCAGTGGGGGGAGGGAGGAGTAGTGCAGGGAGGGAAGCTTCTGTGTCCCTTGCATAAGCCCTGGGACCTGGGCATCTGCGTCCCCAGGCTGTGCCCCACACCCCGTCACAAAGCACCCCACAATGCACACTCCCACCTGACACTGAGCCCAGGACAACCCCCATGCTTGGGCACAGCCTCATGGAACCCAATCCTGGCTTCCGTACACCTAACTATGGACCCTGATGCCCCCATGCTTGGGCACAGCACCATGAAGCCTGACTTTGGCTTCTACACACAACATCTCAGAGGCCAGAGACAGGTGTCCTGTCACCCAGACCCCAGTATGGATCCCACCCACTCGAAGCAGAAGCCAGTGCAGGTGGCATGCCTCTGGTGGGTCGGGGTGGTAGGAGGTAAGACATTGGGACTGGGCTCACACAGAAGCAACCCCGTGACCTCCATGGCTTGGCCACTGCTGGCAGGTACCTGGGCCATGGGCACCTGGGGTGCTGCAAGGCTTTTTTGGTCTCAGAGAACTAGAGTGGAGGGGTTGTGGGGGCATGCATGCCTATGTCTGGATGCCAATCACAGGAGGCCTGGGCACTCAGCTACACTTGACAGTGTCCAGCATCCCAGGGAGCCTGCAGGGCACACTGGGAAGCATGCAGGAGCTCCCCCAATCTTAGGCCTCAGCCAGTGCAGGCAGCCTTCATGCCCTGCACACCAAAGGGAAAAAATGTTTACTGTTTCCTACCAATTTAGCCTAGGGTGTTTACAGAAAACTGCATAACTTAGATTAATACCGCTTCAGGCTTTTTGAACGTCTGTACTTAGCCAAATGGAAAACTAATAACTAGCCCTAACAAAGAGCAATAGAGCCTATTTTTTCCTCTATTATCCCAGTAACTGAGAGCTAAAAATGAAAATAAAAAGTACAAAGGGTCTTGCTAAAACAACTTATTTCACTACATAAGTAATGTCTGCCTTTAAAATCAGTTGTGCGCATTTCATTTCATTTATAAAAAATTGAATTATATGCAATAACTACTTAACCTGAATATCGTTAGTTCTCCAAATCAAAGCAATGAGGCAATGATGAAAGGAACAGTTGCCACTTCATCTGTACTAGAGACATTTGCAAAAATGCAGCACTGAGAATTAAAATATTAATTTAAAATGCAGAACTCATACTTAGGAATATATACAGAAATGGTACTGTAACAGCATTCCAGCCAGACGTTCTAAGAATGTTAAATGAGCAAAAATTAAGTATCTGACAAGAGTGTTTCAGAAACTCTGTTCTGGAGACTGAGCTTCTCCAAAAGTAGCAGTTGTAGATAGAAGGTCTTGGGTCTCTGTTCCTATCATAAGACTTGCAGGGATTTTTTCTAAAGTCACTGGGCTCTAATTAGCTATACAGGTACAAAGTACTTCAAATTACACCTGGCTGCAACCAAGGATGATTCACTGTCTGAGGGAAGACAAGTATTATTTGCAAGCCTACCCTCATATGAGGTTCTTCCAGGAGAGTGTAGTGGATGAGGCACCGTGATTCATTGAATGAGGGCACTTCCTGGGAAACCTAGCCACGTTTTTGCCAGGTAGGAATAATCCATTTCTTGGGTTACACTTCCTAGTTCTTGATTTTTTGATACAACATGAGGTGGGGGCTCCAGGCTAT